GGTTGGGCTCGAGAGAGAGCCCTTAGGGCACAACGGAATGAGTGAGTTCCGTAAGAACGATCGGTGAGCGCCCCCTACCATTGTATATTCCCGATCGAAAACCGACAAGGCAACGGGCTCGTGGCCCGGTGAGTAGAGGCGTTGACTTCTAAACCAACAGGTCGCGAGTTCGAGGCTCGGGTGTTTCACACTTCGGGCTTGGGTATGACTGGCTGACGACGGCTAATAAGCCAGAAATGGCTATTCCAGTCTCCCTTGTCTTTGTCGGTAATGCCACTCTGCTTGGGAGAGGTTCCTTACATGACAGCGCCAGGTCGCGCTTTATTTCAGTCCTGTTACCGTGAAACGCACGATGAGAGTGAATGTGTTGTTTAAGTGAAGTGGCGGACCCCAGGTGCGAACGATGTGATGGAGTGTCTCTGAAGATGCCGGTGCCCCTTCCATTCTGTGCCGCTGTCTCTCATCTTCTCAACTATTTTCGTATCAGTTCATTTTGTTTTCTCTCACTCAATATACCACCACGTCCTTTCCCTGCAGTTGTCTTTAGCGCTGCAATCCCCGCCGGCAATTTAACAGACACGACGGAACACTCCCCATTCCAGACTGGAATATTGTACATGCAGCGCTCCTTCTTATTTTATACTATACCTTTATTACTTATCTACGCAGTTACTATCATAGTATAGTTTTCATACAGTTTGGCTACTTGTTCTTATAACTTCTGCGTAGTGCTTACAACTCTGTTCGGTATTTGCCGAGCTTTGGTCCTGCAGCCCCACCTGAGTGATGCCACATAGTAAGCTTTCTAAACAATTTTCGTAGATGCAAGTACGCTGAATTTACAAATAACATGTATTTGCATCTTCCTTACCATTGTGCCATGAGGGGCGGAGTGGCTTATACGACAGCCTCGGTTACTTCAGGTATCAGTTCACACGCGCTTCCCTGCGCGTGCTTCGAGCCCTGCTTGCGCCCTCTTTACTATCTCAGTCCAGCAAATGGAATTGTTCCGACAATGTGGAACCCCGTCGGTTCCACAGCAGTGGCCATGCACTGCAAATTACCACACGGTTCCCTCTGTGGCCTTCCAGTTGTGATTGCGCCCTCCTTATCTTCTTAATCTAGCTAGTGGTGTGTCTGGGAGAGAGTATGTATACACGCCACCTTCACTCGTTTCCCTGCGCGTGCTTCGACTTCTGCATGCCCTCTCTTTCACTTCCTAGTCCAGCGAATGTCTAAATTAAGGTATGTTAAGTAGTATTGTTTTTGTGAGCTAACCATAAGGTATCAATCAAGCTGGGCTGCAGAACCAAACCCCGCCCAAAAACATTTATTGTACATTTGACTCTGGCATGCAGTATGCTAAGAACACAGCGAAGACTACGGAGTGGTTGCCGCAACCTTAAAAGCCACCTTCATCCAATCCCAGCTCCAGATGGCTGATCGACTCGGACAGTCGGCTGGTGTTTTAGAGGGCGAAGAGAGAGTATGTAACGTCCTGTGATCTGAAAAGGGTTGTTTGAGTGGTGTGACACCACTTCGGCGCGCGGACCCAGGCTAGGGATGGCGTAACCGCATGCTGGTGAAGATGACCGGTGCCCCTTCCTCTCGCTTCTGCCGACCCCTTTTCCCGCATCGCATCGTGAAGCTCGTACCGTTCTCCTTCTCTCTACGTCGACACCTCCCTTGGGCCCTCCCTGCAGTTGCCCACATCGCTGCGTTCTCCACTGGTTTACTAGCTGGCATTCTGGTATCGCCTCTCCACCCAGATAGGTCACTCAACGGCTGTAACTCGTCTTGTTTGTACTTTTAACTATCATTATACGCCTTTCCACTCGCCTTTTCTGTTCATTGTGTCTTCTCGCCCACTTGTCGTTTCTTCTTCTTTTATGTACGGATGAGTATCGTGACCTACTAACAATCGCATTCAGATCAAAGTTAGCCAGGATCTTTTTCCGGTTCTTCGCTATGTGTTTGCGTGCTGCCATTAGCGTTCTCGGTCGCTACAAGTAAAACCTACGGTCTCTGCATATATTCTTATAACTTCTGCATATGTATGTTCGGTGTGGCGATTACAGTTCTGTCCTGTATTTCTCCCGACCGCCAACCGATCACAAGTGCCAACCTCAACGTTTCCACCCGCTACGACCGAAGTAAACAAATCTGGTTATGGACCCTCTGAACCTTTACCACAAGCACCAAATCCGTCTCCAAGGCATTTTCATCTTTATGAAAAAAACGTCTGATGATTTTCAGGCAGAGTTGTTTGTTAGATATATATTATGCTATTGGGGGGAGGGGTGGGGAACCATGGGGCATTTACGACTATGAAATGGTCTTAAGGGTGTAAACACAGTCTTCTTTCGCTGTCGTTATATTGGACAAACGGACATAAGAGCGGATTTTACCAATTTTAAAAAGCGCAATTAATAGTGGTTTAAGAATTCAGTCAAAATTAAGACACTGTAAATTTCCTGAAAAAGGATTTTTCACCCCTATCCCCAGATGTCATGTAAATTGCAACTAACTTCGGCGAAACCGTCGAGTATCAGGGCTATTTGCTTGTGCCAGTTTTGAATGCGTTATAAAATATTTTCTTGTACGCACAAGCACATTGCGTTTTATCAAAAATGTGGCCTTAGGATGCCGCACCCATTTGTCTGGACATTCCACGTAAAGTCACCTACCACTACTGCCTGTGTCACCCCTTCCTCCAACTCCAAATCTCTCTAATCGGCGTCACCAAGGACAACTTTCTCCCAGTTGATTTGTGTACATCTTCCGTTGGCATGGCAGCGCGATATCTTCCGTGGGAGTGCACGCGCACAGTAGACATAGCCTGGCGTTGGCGTTGGTGTGACAGCGGGCGTTGCCGCGACAACAGACAAACTGTTGCCATAGTGATGTCTTGAGGAGAATTTTGTTGTCATTACCTTGCCTGCCCTGTTCGGGCAGACAGTGAACCTCATTGATGAGAGGGTTAAACTTCCAGCTGGTCTTTTGTTTCAGGAGGCAACTGCCTCAACACGATGGCGTGGGGCGGGGAGGGGGGAGTGTACGAGGGAGGGAAGGCAGGGGGCGGGGAGGACGATGAATGGGTGCAGCGTGGATTATGGGCGTTCGCCTACAACGCAGGCGCCAACTAGGGCAAGAACACACGCACTCGTAGCAAGTCCGTTCTTTCAGTAGGCGTGGGTGGAGGGTGTGGACAGAAGGGGAGGAGGTGATGGACAAGCAAAGACAAAAAAGAAGAGAAGCGAAGGCGAAAGAGACAAAGGTAAACCGTATAAGTACTTGGCGTAGAAGAGAGGTGAGTCGGAGGGAGGGGAGGAGAATGACGGGTGGAGAAAAAGTAGGGGGAAGAAGTCGAGGTGGGAGGAGGAGGAGGAGGAAGGGAGAAGAAGAAGAAGAAGAAGATGATGATGATGATGATGATGAAGAAGAAGAAGAAGAAGAAGAAGAAGAAGAAAAATAGCGAAGGAGAGGAGGGCGGAGGAGGTGGAAAAGGCGGATGTAGTTGACGAAGAATAGTGGAAAAGGACAATTCGGAGAAGAGGAGGGGGACCGAAAAGGAGGATTTCAGTCCGACAAGAGAAACGCTATGAAGCGGGGCAGAAGAGGTTATTTGGAACAAAATTGAAGCCTAAAAGCCCCTACATTCTACGGTACCTGAGTTCCGAATGCGACAGTTTGACCGTCGCAACCGACAATGTCTACCGTTTTTTCTACAGTAAGTTGAAAGAGACACGGCAACTTGCGCAAGAATTAGTTTATAGTGAGAGTAGACTTGCGAAGCGTCTACCGCACACTCTCATCCCCACCTAGCCCAGGTGTCAAGACATAGTCAAGAAGACCGGGGTCGGGAGAGGACGCTATTAGCTGACGCAGTCTGACCCGCATCTAGACGTACCATTACACACCCTGGTCCAAGACAAACAATTGACCAGGATTTTAACCAACAGCAACAGCACCGCAGCGGGCCAGAAAGACTAAGAGGACGACTTGGCGCGACCTTATATACCCAGCGGGGGCGGGAGCGCAAACTCATCTACCGGCACCAAGTGCCAGTGCATGCCTGGCAGGTGCTAGAAAACTGCCAACGCCCACCAGGCTGCGAGGGCCATGTTTGGCTGAATCGTGGCATAGCTGACGCAAGCAAACCTTTAGAGCTCCGACCACTGACAGATGACGTCAACCACTGACAGACAAAACAGTTTCATTGTGAAACTGTTGCAAACCGCATTTAAACATGCCAGCGCCTCAGCTATGGCGCGCCGTTTGCTGGTCCCCCTACTATAAATTCGTTAATAATCAGCATATCTGAATTTTGAAATATGTCCTTTCATGCAGGGGTCAAGTCAATTTAGAAATCCTGAAGTGGTAGAATACTGACATTGCCGATCTAGCTCCTATACACATAAACTTGCCAGGTCATTCTTATAACTTGAAACGCCCCAAAGTAGCTTTCTCGTCCATTAGGAATTTCACAGGTAAGTAGTGACAATCCGAGCCTCTCCATGAAACCTTGTAGGAGACGCTAGGGCTTGCCGATGAGTCCCAACTCCTGTTTTCTACCCGTTTGGTCGTCAAGATCGGATGATACCGCCTTCCAATTTTTTATCTGAAAATGTTTTGGAACCCACCCTCGTCGCGCTTTGCACGACTGCAGTATTTATTCTTGACTTTCCGGTAGCCTCCTGTAACTATTCCCATGTGTGAATATGAAGGTTCAGATGTGGCGAACAGCGATGTCCATCATGTACCCCCCGGCATGATAAGTGCAGGGACGCTAAGTTACGCCGGAATAAGTTTATAATGATGGTTGACTTGCACAGCGCCTAGAGCACTGTCTTCTCCCCCACCTGGACCCGGTATCAAGAAGACCGGAGGCGGGATCGAACACATTGACTGACGCATTTAAACAAACCGTCTACGCGATCCAAACACGCCAGATTCGCGTCCGATCCCGAGCATCTGTCCACTGTCTGGGACGGCCAGCCATCTGATGCCGGAACTGGGCGGCAGCCTTCCAAGCCACGGCTTTTAGCCCACCGTGACAAATTCAAGCGTGTCAGATTTTTTGCATTTGGAAATATGTGCTGAATGCCACGGGAAAGAATTCCCCAGAGGCGACCACACTCTCTTGTCCTTTTCACAGGCACCAGGCCACTGTTTGAGCCGGCCAGCCATCTGATGCAGGGATTGGGTGCAAGTGACCGGTGCGGCGTGAGCCCGCGCCTAGGCGCGCCACCATGCGTGACATTTGTTGGGATTCAAATCCCAAATAATGCATGCCTTATCCTGATCTGGCCCTTTTATGCCCAGTCGAACCTACCAAGGAATGCTTCATTACGTGGCATGGGTGAAACTGTGGTCACCTCTGGACCACACGGGCTATGTGAGTGGTTTCGGCAACGGGAGTTGGCCAGGTGCACGGCTACCTTAAAGAAAACGGAATAAATCCGAAAGTGCAGTCTTTCTGTCTTCTTTACCACTTTCAGGCTCTCATTGTTAGTCTACTTGCTCAAAGACCCAGGAGAATGGTCGCCTGTTCGTGATATCCGCTAGCTCACCGAGTTTTTATTTACTCCGGAAGAAAAAACGAAACAGTTTTATTTGTGACTGAATGTTCCATCTGCTCCGGCAGGTGACGAAGCACTCCTGAACGTCAGCTCACCGGTGCGTTGAGCTCATCTGCAGGCCAATTGCGCGATATTACTGGGCGTGTATTTGGTCCTTGTAGCAGATCCAGACCTGAAGTATAATTGGCTGGCTTGAGTATGCCATAGAAAACATCTGCCTCGATCTTCACTTTTATTTGTGTCGGTTCGGCTCTGTTGTTGTTTATCGCATTATTTGCTTTCTATGACCTCTAGGAGTTGTTTTGGGACACACAGTCTGCTGGCAAACGTTAGATCGTCCCTTCGTCCCACCAAATTTTCGTCCTTAACCCAAGTAAAGCCAGGGTCTTGGAGACATAGTATTGCCTGAACATGATGATCATTTGTAGCTGTCGTGTGTTTACGGACAACCAGCAGGTCAACGGCTTTCCTCCTTCAATTCCAGGGCTGCAACCTGGACGATATCACACACACTATGTTTACTAACGACTTTGAAGTCTCCAAACAACTCATTGCTCAGCACTTTTTCGCCGTCGATCGATGTCCTGGGAAATGAGATACCATGCTGAAACCTAACTCAACATCAGCCTCACTCGTCCGTTATGCTGTAGTGACAAGACCACGACTGGTGGGGGGCGCGAGCACGGTAAGCAAGATGACAAAAAACTCGTCTTCGCGTGCCCCGCGCGCGCCGGCCGCCACACGCACCAACAACAGACATCAATTGGGGGATCTCCGGCCTCACGTAGGTAACAGCTATCGGTATGGGCGTGTCAGGGAGCAGCGATCAGTCTGGAGGAGAGACAAGTTAACTTGTCTGTGATCGACCTTACAGA